GCAGGCCTTGTCTTGAGTTCTAGGACCTCTAATTTGAGGTTTGATGATTTTATAAAGCAAGAAAAGTAAAAAGCTTAGATAAAGTTAAATAACTTGAGGCAAAAGGCGAGGGGAGCTGGAACTGTGCCGTGTTGGCGAAGCAGACAGAATATTCGCGGCACAATTGAGCGCGCTGCAGGTTAACGGGGTGAGATGGAAAGAGGTTGGGAGAAACGCGTGGAATGCGAGACCCGCCTGCCTGGAAGAGGAAGAAGCCCAGAATTAAAAAAAAATAAAACAAACACAAAAAAACACAGCCAACCAACCCCAACTGTGTTGTTAATCTCAGTAAAGCGATGTGGGCACAGCCGGATGGTGGAGTATCTGGGGCAGCGCGATGGCGAGGCAATCGCGTTCGCTGAGTCACGGAGGTTATTGAGGCTGCGTGTTTGTTGTGTTTTTGGTGTTTTTGTTTTTTTTTTTTTTTTTTTCTCTGTCTTTTAGGTTGCGTTGTGTACCGCTTTTTGTCTGTGCAGGAAGGCAACGCTCGCGTGGTATTTGCTGCAGCAAGAGGTCTATCATTGGGAACCCACAGGTTTTATTTTATATGTATACATATATATATAAAAAAAATATATACACACATACATAAACTTGGTGGTTTGGTTTGCCTTTTTTTTTTTTTTTTATGGAAAACTATGTTCTTAGTGTTCAAAACCCTGTCCATTCAAGATGATTCAATTCTTTAATATACCAAACTTTACTGTCAGCGTTACATAACGAAGCATTTAAGAACGCCCCTCAGAAAATATAATTGTTCAGGGCCATATGAGTGCCTTGTGAAGGAGTAAATAGCATTTTTTTGAGCAGAGAGGTGGAAGGTGTTTGGATAAATATTGATAAAGAAAACCAGTAACGTGTTAATTCATTCAAAATTATTTCTCTTTGTGCCTCTCACGTGACAATTCTCTTGGTATGCACTAGATAGTTGTGCTGGAATAGTTTTCAGTGGAAAATAGTTCTTAATTTAAAAAATATGGTCTAAATACTGTATTGCAGCATTTGATATCAGCGGCTGTAGTCAAGAGTAAGCAGGGTTTGGTTTTTTTTTTTTTTAACATGGACATGTAAATCTGTAACATTCTTGGGAAACTTTTTAAAGATACAGTGCAAAATTCCACATTGGGCAAAATAATGCTACCGAGCAAGCTGGTCTTTGTAGCGGTGGCAAGGAACAGTAATTAATAAAGAAGGACATAAATGCACCTTCGCGGGCTGCGTCCCCAGCAGCGTGGCCAGCAGGGCGAGGGGGGATTGTGCCCCTCTGCTCTGCTCTGGGGAGACCCCCCTGCAGTGCTGCCTCCAGCTCTGGGGCCCCCAACAGCAGAAGGACACGGAGCTGTTGGAGCGGGGCCAGAGGAGGCCCCGGAGATGCTGGGGGGGGTGGGACACCTCTGCTGG